CTTGAGGTTAGCAGCCCAGTTTGTAACCACTACGCTACCAGAGTCCAAATATGCATGCTTCCTTGTTCTTTATCTTGACTATCAATTCACTGCTGAACCAAACTCACTGCCACTGTGTCAATGCTGATTCAGTGACCCTAATGGGACAGAATAGAACTGTTCCATGGGATTTCCAAGGCTGTAAGTTGCCTCATTGTTCTCTTAAGGAGTAGCTGGGGGGTTCAAACCATCAACCTTTCAGTTAGCAGCTTAATGTGTCACCCAATGTGCCGGCAAGACTCTTTGATCTTGATTGTTAGGAGATAATTTCTCATAAGCTAGGAAAACGTTCAAACACACCTGCTTATTTATTCATAGGCTATATTTATTATTAAGTTATGCTAATAAATGACTAGATGGACCCAAGAAGTTAGATGTCCTGTATAAAGCCGGTAGGGTCATTCCTTACCCACAAAGACAGACATTTTAGGAGAGAATAAATACAGTTCGTAAGGTTTGGTGATGCATTTTCAGTGCAAACGCATATGACCAGGAGTGACACCTCTGGATTTTCTTTTTTCATAATCAATCTGTCACTGGCATTTCTCTATATATTTTTTATACTAAAGATGGAATAAATCCACTGTAACTATGCCCAAATTTCAGGACTATAAGACCTGCTTTTTAAATTGTGGACTTACTGCCCCACTGAAAGAATTATGTAGGATTTTAGAAAAATTAGCAGCCCTAAAAGAATTTCTTTTTAAAGAGAGGATCTAATACCTGTGGCCGTTCAGTCTGTACTCGACGTAGGCAGTCTGCACCATAGATCACTGTATTCTCAGGGATAACTTCAAAAGTATTCAGACTACAACAAGCACCAATGATACAACCGCTCGTCAATATTACGTTCCTGCCTACGTATGCTGCAGTAAAAATGGAGAAAGAATTGCAATTTAAGGCATCAACTGATTAAAGCACTAATTTTTGTAAGATGATTTAGACAAAAAAAATGCAAATTAGCCTATAAAAATGTAAAGAAAATAGTTCTGTTCAACATCTGTATAACAGAGAGGTAGTTAGTACACATTACAGTTTGATAGACTAGAAACAGCTCTGCTGCTGACTAGTTGTGTGACCTTGGACAAGTTGCTGTACATTTTCTGAGCTTGAGTTTATCTATAAATGGAAAGATCATCCTATTTCACAGTTTGCTGCAAGGAATAACTGAGATCATAAATCTAAGGTGCTAAATACATTTTGAGACAGAGTAAGCTTATAATAAATTAATGACAATGAAAATAATTGGTAATCCAAATTTAAATAAAAACCGTAAGTAGAATAACAAGATGTCTACTTTTGTTATTTTAAAAAAAGAAGCACTTGCATGCCAATCAGGACCAAGAAAAATAAGTCAGTATTCCACATAAAAGAAGTACTATTGTTCAGGTCCTCTCTGTACCCTGGTGGGACAAAACACTTGGCGCTGGTCCCCAATAGTGGTGTTGTCATTCCATGTCCCTCTGCCTGGACCTATTTATCATAAGTAAAATACCTGGTTTCTGTTTGGCTAAAGTAGTCCTGACAGTAAAGAATTAAACTCCCAGAGAAACTGGCATTTCTTTAATTCTACAATTAACACAACTAATTAAATTATCATAGATGATTTATATTTAGTAGAAATCTTTTTTCAAATAGTTCCTCTGAGCTCTATGGTTTAACCCAATTCTGATTTAAATGTACACAGCTGATCTTTTAACTTAATGCATAAACTAAATTACTAGATTAAGAATTAATCAGGTAAACAACTAGTTTTACAACTACTTTAATCCACTTCTAAGCACAGCTTCCACAGCACCTTTCACACAGAACACCTGGCTATAGATCTCATGCAGTTCTGTCCCAGGGCAAGACAGAGCAAAGGAGATTCACTCATTCCTCACTTATCAACTAGCTCAGCAGCTCACATTTTGCATCTGTGACAATAAAAAAAAAATCTCCTCCCCAGTAAAGACTTTCAAAGTGAGAGGTGAAAGTAGTAATGCTGACTCTCGTCGTAAGGGTTAACATGCCTGGGCCATGCTGCTCAGCGGTTTGGCAGTTATTACTGCAGTGATTTGACAATTGTGTAATGATATAATTTGGCACTTATACAGTGATGTGATCATCCTCCATTTTCACATAATGCTGATTTTGCATAACAAACAGATTTTGTAACCTCACCATAGTGAGTTTGAACCAATGACCTTGCAGTTCAAACCAACCTTGCAGTCCAGTGCTTACCCTCCAGGATTCCAATAAGGGAGGAATGAGTGTAATGAATTTTCATGACAAAACTCTAACCATACTTTACCTTTTGATTCAATAACATTATTGTCTCCCATTTTCATCGCTTGAGAATCTGTAATCCAGAGTTAAGTAGATATTGTAAATAGTTTTACTTTTTTCCCTACTAATACAGCATATCCTTATACTGCATTGCATGGGAGGCAGGGGCGTGGGAAAGGGTATGCAAGGAAATCTGAAAACTAAGTTTTAATCTTTAAATAAAAACTGTTCCAAGAGTGAGTAAATAACTGTTATGCTTTTATAAAAATGAGTACCTTACACTCTAATTCTAGTATAAGAGTAACACATTTTCACAATTGTTTTAAGAAAATTAAAACTATTCATCACCTAATCACTTAGAGGTAACACTGTTAACAATTTGATATATCTTTAAAGTAAAAAAAATGATATATTTGTATAGATTAATATTTAAGTTATCAAGAATCTTATTTTTCTTGGATTTAAAATCAACAGCCAGGGAAGCAATACCCAAGAAATCAAACAACATATAGCACTGGACAAATCTGCTGCAAAACACCTCTTTAGAATGCTAAAAAGCAAAGATATCATCTTGAGGACGGACTAAGGTGTGTCTGATGCAAGCCATGGCATTTTCAACCACCTCATTTGCATGTGGAAGCTGGATAATGAATAAGCAAGAACAAAGAAGAATTGATGCATTTGAATTATGGGATTCGCGAATAAAAATGAATATACCATGGACTGCCATAAGAAGAAACAAATCTGTTTTGGAAGAAGAACATCCAGAATGTTCCTGAAAAGCGAGGGGCATCTCACATACTTTGGACATGTTATTAGGAAGGACCAGTCCCTGAAAGAAGGACATTATGCTTGACAGGCAGTGTTTCATTCTGTTTTGCACAGGGCTGCTGACTCAAAACTGACTCAATATATTGAGCAACAATACATTAATAAGTCTGTATATACTCAGTATATCAAAGCCAAAACATTCAAACGTACCATCGAGTCAATTTTGACTAAACAGCAACCGTATTTAGGGTTTCTGAGAATGTAAATCTTAACAGAACCTGTCAGTCTCATCTTTCTTTCATGGTGAGTTTGAACTGCTGACCTTGTGGGTTAGCAGTTCAATACCTAACCCACAGTTCTATATATGTAAATGGAAGTCAAACTTTATAGTTTTATAGCTCATTTCATTCAGTTCACTTAAATTTGCAAGCCTATTTCCATGCCATTAAAAATTTTTAGAACATAATTTTTAATGAATGCTTAATGATCCTTGTGGTCCATTTTATGCTTGCAGCTTAATTTAATTAAATATTTTGCTATAGTTGGACGTTTAGATATTTTCTCCAAATTTTTCTATTAAAAGTAATGTTTTAATGACACTATAAAAAGATTTTACTATATTCTCAGAGTACAAAACCAAGTAAAAGGACTGGTGACATTCTGGGAGAAAAAGAGAATGAAATCTTTTCATTCCAACTCCCACGTCTCATTGGCTTATATCAGACAATGTGTTATGTACCTACACAGGAGCCAAACTGACAAGAGTTATAATTCTTAAATCAGGACAGAAGTCAAGATTACTCTGCTTCTGTGTCTATTGCTCCTCAGTATATATATAAAGAGGTTTAAAATGTTCATGGAAAAATCTTACTTTCTTTTAATTCCATTTTTCCACAAACTTTTTGAAGCCCCTTGGATATGAAGGCAAGTGTCACTTAATGTCTATTGGGGCAATATGTAACTTGGCTGTATGGTCCAATACGTTTTCTTTCTTTCTTTCTTCTTTTTTTAAAGAATTTCTCCCTAATGCTTTTAAAGACTTCAAACCCAGATTCTGACAGCATTGGACCATAAGTGGGAGACAGGCAGGTAAGGCAGAGAACATGGCTCTGGGTGTAGGCTCTTAAGACTCTGTATGGTGGTACTGGGTGCTACTGGGTCCAGGCTGCTCCTGTCACTCAGGTGGGAGGACAGTGGACATGGTTGAGCACACTTCACTCTCTCTCCACTCATCCTCTTATGCCCCCCACGCCCCAGCTCTCTCTCATCCACCACTGCTGCCACTTCCTACCCCTCCAGTCTCTGCCAGTACCTGTGAAAGTGGGGGTTATCAAGAGCAATGACAAGACTACCAGAAGCAGGCTCCCCTTATGGCTTCCATAAGGTGTTTATACAATGTCCAAATCACATAATGTCCCATTTCACATAACAGCTCATGGTCATTTAGCAATGCATACCTGTATACATATTTGAAAGATAAATTATGACATTTTCTATAAGGGGTGATTTGGTATTAAAAGACAGTTGGGAATGCTTTATCTTAGGTTATAAAGGATACAACAGCCAACTTCAAACACATTATTGGTGCCAATGATCATAGGCTTGGGTTCTGAATCCCCAGCATCAGGGGTGATATTATCAGGGTGACTGTAAAAAAGAAGAGACAAATTGTCAAAAGGTTAGTAATATAATAAGCTGTTCTCTTCCCATTTTAGAATTTGGGTAATTATCTCATAAATGTTACCCATGTCAAGCTTAAAATACATAACTATGCAAATTATTTCTTAATTCAAATGAATCCCTTATTCTCTATGTTGAAGAAAATGAGTTTTATTTAAAAAGAGCTAATGAAATGCAAAGAAGTCAAAAAAGTGTGAAGAAGGATAACCGTCTTTTGATTATTTTTTTTAGGTTAAAAGTCAAAAACATCCCTCAGGATACTGTAAAAAAAGATGCTGGCTATGAATTTTAACCTGTTAAACTGGATTCAAAACCATGCCTACCTTGAAACATTCCCATCCTTAATAGTGCTTCAATTGTAGAATGCAAACAGGTATTTGCATAAAATAGTTATTTTATGCTATAATGTATTTGGAGCTCTGATGGGGCACTGCAGGCTAATGCACTAGATGCAAGGTCAGTGGTTCAAGCTCACCAGATGCTCCTCTGAAACCTTATACAGAGTCACTACAAATCAGAAACAATCTGAAAGCACTTGACAATAACAATTATGTATTTGGGAGTCTTGGTGTGGCACTATAGGATAAGCACTGGAACGCAATGTTGGTTTAAACTGTAAGATTGGTGGTTCAAACCCACCAGCCGTGTCTCAGAAACCCTATATGGGGTAACTATGAGTCAACTGACTCACTGGCACTTAACAACAACGTTCTGTAGTTGAGGAGTTCCTGGATGGCACAGACAGTTAAGAATGTGACTACTAGCCCAAAGGTTGTCAATGTGAACGCACCAAGTATAAACTCAATGAGCTGTGGTGGTCCTGTAGGATAAGCATTGGACTGCTAACCACGAGGATGGCAATTCAGCTCACCAGCAACTATATGGGAGAAAGGTACGGCTTTCTGTTCCCATAAAGATTTCCAGCCTCAGAAACCCTAGGTAGAGTAGTTCTGAGTCAGAATTAACTTGATGGCAGTGGGTTTGGGTTGCTTTAGAGGCACCTCAGAAGACAGGCTCAGGGATCTGCTTCCAAAAAGGAGACAACCCTGGAAACCCCATGGAGCAGTTTTACTATGCAAACACAGGGTGGCCATGAATCAGGACCAACTGAACATCAACTTGATGGTCACTAACAACAGCAATTAGGTTGTTGTTAAGTGAGTTGACTAAGGTCCATAGCAACCCTGTATAAGGTTTCCAAGGAGCAGCTGATGAGTTTGAACCACCACCCTTGCAGTTCAAATGGCTTTACAGCCTGGCACATTAACCCACAGGGCCACCAGGACAGTTAAAACATTTAGAACACAAAAGGTTTGTGATCTAAGAGATGATGCAATTTTTAAATGGTGCTTCTCTTTTACTGCTAAATTACTGCACAATCCAGCTATTGTTAACTGGTTCACATTAAAGGTATCAAATATATTTTTAAAGAAACTCCTTAATATAGTAAGTAAATTCTAAGTATTAAGAAAAATCAATCTCTTAATCATAGGTAAATATTTTTCCAAGGCCTTTCTTACAAATTCCACACGTTATTGCTATAAAGTAGGTGTAAGCTTGAATTTCTTGCCAACTTTTTATCTAGAAAACTTAAGAAATGTTCACTGACATTATGGTCAATTTCATGAAGACAGTGTACATGTTCTAACATTTTGTTTACTTATCTTTAAAGTTTAAAAATTGCCTCCAGAAAACCAAGTTTTAAAAATATAATTCTGGGTGTTACTACTGCTTGTTGTTGATAAATGCCAATGAGTTGGCTCTGACTCATAGAGATCCAGTACAGGGTTTTCCAAGGAGCAACTTGTGGGCTTGAACTGCCAACCTTGTGGTTCACAGTCCAGTGCTGATTCTACAGCGCCACACTTACTATTTTATGGAAATACATAAAAACATGAGGGGACTTCAAAAAGTTCGTGGAAAATGGAATAGAAAGATAATGACGTTTTTACTTTTAGAAGCTCCTTCATATATACTGGAGTCCTGGAATGGCGCTGTAGGATAAACACTGGACAACAAGGTCAGTCTGAACAACAAGGTTGGTGGTTCAAACTCACCAGTCATTCCTTGGAAACCCTATACAGGGTTGCTATGAGTCAGAACTGACTTGACAGCACTTAACAACAATAATCATATATATCAGTATTCGGTTCATGGGTCTGGGCATGGGTAATAACGTTCAGCCAAAACTGAGAAACTCAACTAAAAGACACCCTCCAGCCTGGTTAGTACAGCACTTGGACGTGGAAACATTCAATTACATATGTGATCAATAGTGGATGTGGCAGTAACGCAGAAGGGAGAGATTACCAGACCAAGAGTTAGAGTCTAGTCGGCTACCAACAAGCCTGAATAAATTTCTGCCCATCTGATCTTTGGTTTCCTTATTTACTAGTTATTCATTTTGAAAAATACCCTTAATGCTCCTTTAGCACTAAAACATTAGCTTTTCCAAATATCAGTTGTGAAAGGTTCTACAGATTGCCAAAAATAACAAAAACACATCTTTGGTACTGGCTCAGAACACATGAAGAATCTTACTCACGCATTTATGATGAGGGCCTGTTCTTCTATTAGGTTACCTTCACCAATCACTATTGGCCCAGCTTCTGCAATAATCCGTGCTTTAGGGTGGATCACTGTCCTAGCTCCTGTTAAAATATCATGAAAAGAAATTACTGAACGCTGTGGGCGCTACAGGATCAGCACAGTACTGTGAACCACAAGGTCATCAATACAGGGTCATTATGAGTCAGAACCAACTTGACACCCAATGTGATGGATTGATATAGTGGCAACTGCAATGGGCTCAAATGTCACAATCCTGAGGATGGCACAGGATAGAGCAATGCTTCATTCTGGTGTGCACAGGGACGCTATGAGTTGGAACTAACTTGATGGTACCTAGCTACAAAATGTGTAGTACTAAACAAAGCTGAAATGAACTCTGGATTCCTTTGAAATGAAAAATTTCTTACAAGTCTTTCAGCTGTGTAAACCAATTTAAATCTGTAGTCTGTACCATCCAAGATACACATTTATAATTAAAAAGTTCTGTGATGGGGGTGCACAAACTTTCTTTCAATTCTTTATAATTAAAACCCACGGTCTAGTTTAGAACTCTATCACTTAAAGGGTAGCCTCAATTTGCTCTATACAAAGATGAGCTCTATAGCAACTTAAATCAGTGAGGCTGAGTTATGGATTATAAAAAATGTTATAAAGACATATCATGAAGGCTGACTCATTGTTCTGAAAAAATAGGAACTATCTTCATTATCTACCATTAAGAGTTAACAAATCACTTTATCATAATATACAAAAGGACCACCATACTCCTTTACTCAGTTCTCAGGGCAATCAAAATACCTCCTTCTAATTGGACAGTCCTGGTGCGGCACTGTAGGATAAGCACTGGACCGCAAGGCTGGTTTGAAATGTAAGGTCTGTGGTTCAAAATCACCAGCAACTCTTTGGAAACCCTACAAAAGTTGGAAATGACGTGACAGCACTAACAACTTCAGGGGAAAATTCCACAGTACGAGATTAAGGAGCCCTGGTCATGTAGTGGATTACAAATGAGACTGTTAACCACAAGGTCAGCAGTTCGAATCTATCAGCCATTCCACAGGAGAAAGATGAGGCTTTTTCTGCTCCTATAAAGATTTACAAAGATTTTCACCCTCAGAAACCATATACAGGGTCGTTATGAGTCAGCACCGACTTGGTGGTAACAACAGTTACCACCATACAACCACCACCGCCATATTCAGTTATCAATGACCTCAGCAGGGTCCCTATGAGTGGGAACCAACTCCATGATACACAATCACCACCAACAAGGAGATGAATTAAGGTATTTCTCATAACTAGTTTCAAAATCCTGAGATAGGAGCAAAAGCTCATGTTTGAGATAAAAAGCAGATCCTTGGCCATTGTTAGAGAAGTAGCCAGAGACACCAGCTATTGTCCTAGCCCTCAAGCCATAGCTTCGACAAGTTCGAGTGTGCAGCAAGTCAGTTGAAGATGGATTAACAAAACACAGATTTGGATTTTTTTTTTTTTTAAAAAAAAAAAGGTCTTGTGTAATATAAATTGAAAACAATACTTAATTCCATTTTCCCCTTCAAATTTTACCTGTTGTCATGCAAAAATAAAAATAAAAATAACATTAAAGTTCAGCTTTTCTTATATAATGTAAAAATATAATGCCTGCTGTTTTTCATACTGGTGTCTTATTATTATTCTATTTTTATCATTATTAATAAACCTTTACTGTCTAGTTAATTCTGACTCTTGGCCACACTATGTGTTATAGAGTAGAAGTGTCTCATAGGGTTTTCTCCCCTGCAATCTTTACAGAAACACACTGCCATTTCTCCTGGGGCATCAGTGGGTAGGTTTGAACCACCAACCTTTATGTTAGTGTGTGTGTGTATGTGTGTGTGTGTGTGTACGTGTGTTAAGTGTGGTCAAGTCAGTTCCAACACAGAGCAACCCTGTATGTGATTTCTGAGGAGCAGCTAGTGAGTTTGAACTGCCGACCTTGCAGTTATTAGTCCAGTGCTTATCCTACAGTGCTACTCAAGCACAAACTGCTTGTGCTACCTGGGGACTTCTATGACGTTGCTCTTGTTAAGTGCCTTGGAGTGGGTTCTAACTCATAGCGACCTTGTATAGGGTTTCTGAGGAGCAGAATGAACTGATGACCTCGTGGTTAGCAATTCAGTGCTTATCCCACAACAGGACCTCATTATTAACAAGTTATTTAGTAAATAACTAGAAACCTCATGGTTACAATTCTGAGTCTTGACCTGGGAGACAGAACCCTGGTGATACTGAAGGATAAGTACAGCACTGCTAACACCAAGGTCAGCAGTTCAAACCTGTCAGCCACTCTGTGGGAGGAAGATAAGGCTTTCTGCTCTCATGAGAATTTACAGCCTGGGAAATCCTATAGTCAGTCACTAGGTGTCAGAATTGACTTGCTGGCAGTGGGTTTTTACCCCGGAGGATATAAAACATGCCAAGCAGCAGAGACCTTTGATTAAGACACTATCTCCACCCGGTGGCCGCACTGCAAAACTACAGGCTCTGGTGTTTCCAGAACAAAATAACTTAAAAGGTGGAAAAAATGAATTGTGAAGTAACAGCAAATGTCACAGTAACTAATAACTCCCTGAAGGCGCAGAATACAGAGGTTAACATACATGTACAGGCTTTGACCTGCTATCCCAAAATACCACATTCCTGTGAAAAGTTTCATAAACCACAACAGCATTAAGTGAAGAATTACCATGAGAAAAAAATGTGAGCGTTTCCAGACTCAAAACATTACCTACCAAATCGCACCAAATAACATATAAAACCTTAAATAATGCTAACATACAGTGCTCACAGACACAGTTCTCAGCTTGCTGCTGAGATGCTGACTGGTTCCCAGGAAGGAGCACGGTTGCTCAGGATGTGAGCTACCTCTGTAACTATTCACTGCAAAACAAACACCGAACACTAGCACCACCTTTTGCCTTTTTTTTTT